TTAACATACTTTTTACAATTAGATTTCTAAAAGTAGACGATCAATAATTTTAAATTTTCTTTATATACATTATAAAAACATTATATATAAAAAGAGAATTCAGAATTAATTGATAGTCTACTTTTAGAAATCTAATTGTAAAAAGTATGTTAATGTAAAGCTAAATATGATAATACAATTGTGGTTTTTCGCTCTTTCTGTCACAAATATAAGATTAGATCCTGTCACAGATAAAATATTACAAAAATATAAGCTTTGGAAGTTTTTGATAATACAATATTGTCACAATTACAATTTTAGTAATATATGAAAATTAAAGAAAATTTGTTATTGTTAGTGTGTAAAGTATATGTGTTAATATATTTCAACAATACTGCCTTAAAAGTTAGAAAGGTCCGACGAACTTACGCGGCGCAAATGCAAAATAAATAGTAAAATCTTCCCCTCAGGTGCATTTTAATCTTAAGGCGATTAAATGCTACAAATAACATGTCGCAAAATTTTCACTTAGCATAAATTAAAGGAAGTGCGAGATTTTTCTGAACTATTTTCGCCGTGTACCTGTTATCCTTTGATTTTATTTAATCCGCGTTTTGTACATACGCGGGAATACTGTATACATTATATTCTCTTCAACGCGATGGAAACAACTTTTGCCATTGGGCCAGTGATTCTCTCTCGGTAGCGTTCGCGTCAGTAGAGTCACTTGTACTTTAATCCGCGGACATGAGTTCGAACCTCGCTCGCTAATATCGCCAAAGAGGCGCAGCCAGATGAGGCTATCGGTCGGCCACTCTTGAAAATACAGCGAATAGATGGATATCACAATCAAATGTAACTACCGTTAGCAGGTATTACCGGTAATCTCGCGTGACCCTTTCCATATTACATATTATCTGCGCAAACGTTAGCTCCACGTTACAGCTCATCGATTTCGCTCGGTAATAAGTTGTAATAATAAGTTTTATTCAACGTAGTAATTTGATTATTAATCACTTTGTTTTCGTGCGAATGGCAGTTGTTAGAGGCATATTATATTCGTTATTCGATTAATTCACACGAAGGTCCAATTTGTAATAAAATCGACGTGACTTTGACTCGTTAACTGATAAACTTAACAAATTGAAAATGTCACTGTTAAATTTTCATTATTCATCATTAATCCGTATATCACACCGTTCTCTTTTATTTATTTATATACGTACTTTTTTACTTGTGTTCATTTCGGAGAGACAGATGACACTGTGTATTCTAGTTTTTGTTCGCAGAATCGATGAACACGTAGATCCGCGTCGGGTTTGATGCCCGAGCGGCGATTTCACGTACGACACGATGAATCAACCAATAGTAAGATTTTAATGAAACCTGGCCTAAAGTCCGCTTTCTTCCTTGACAAACACCGACATTCGACTGTGGGCGTCTGAGATTACGCGTCTCGAGCGCGATATTCTAATGGACGGCAGGCAAGCCGGTCTTTCTCGTGCATTTAGTCGAATGGGTTAAAACTGCGGTTATTTGCGGTGCACTTCGATCAAATTGGCTGCCGTTTGCATAATCTCCTTCCGTTGCCCGCCGCGTCGCATTCGTCCACATCCGCGCACGCCTTTCTTTCACCGGATCTCTCTCTTTTCCCGTCTCTCCCTCCCCCTCCCCCTCCCCCTCCTCCCCCTCTTCCTCCTCCTCCTCTTTCCTCGAACGCGTCTCCTTTTTTCCATCCGGTCGTACCTTCCATCCGCGAAAACGATCGCGTTTCTTTGTTCAAGGCAGGCAGGAAATTTAGAACCTCTACGATCACGCTTGATTTATATACGTCGATCGATCGAATTTTACGACGATAGATCGTTCACCCTCGGTGCGCCTCGAGGGAAAGTCGATCACAGTGGCGGTCGCGGTCAGCGCGGAGCGAAACGAATCGTCTCAATTGTGACTTCTTGTCGGGATTGGATTTCCGCAGATCAACTGCGTTTACGCGAAGCCCGACGTCGACGACATCGCCGGTGACATCGGGGATACGTGCCGCATGTGCGGTGCTCTTGAGGAGAAAACAAATGACGCACCATGATCGTCCTGAATTTTGCACGTACAGCCGATTTGAATAAATTTTCACGCAGCCGTAAAAATTGCCGGTCTTGCTCCTGACGTACTGAAATTGCAAGATTTTCCGCAGCGTGAAATAAAAATATTTGTTTCGAGAAATTTATACATCCTTAGTCGGATACACATATCTTTCTTGGAGAGATCTCTCCTCGTAAAATAATCTTTAAACTTAAGTTTGGTAAGATTTTTCGATTAAAGAGTCAATCACGCAATTCATTATTACAGGTCACGTATAAAATTATCATACTGTAATCAGCTTTCGCGCGAAATGTGACATGCGTAGATTTAACGAAAATTTATGGCCCAACGTAAAATTATTTCATATTATGAATAGTGCAGCGTTGTGGCACACAAAGCAATAACCATTAATGCCCATAACAATTACTCCCTCCGTATTATTAATATAATTTAATTACTGGTAAGCAATCTACAGTATATATCTGCGACAATTCCAATCGTCGGATGGAACATATAATGGTTCCGAATTCG